ATCCACTTCTCGCAAAAAGTCGGCCCCAAGGATTGTTCGGCGCAATTCAGGTACAACCAGGAATGGGAACGTCACGCCATCCTCTCCAATTCTAACCCTGCAGTCTGAAACTCCCGCGATTCTTAACACGTGACCGCCTACTGTCTGCACTGCCAACGAACACGGTCTTATACTCTCACATGGACTCCTATCTACGAGTGAGACTGCAGCCCCTGTGTCGATTAAACACACCAACTCGCGATCATTTACCCGTAACTTCGAATATATTGCCCCCTTCTCCATCGCCCCTATTACCTCAAGTCTCGGAACACAGGAAGAAGACACAGTATATCTTTTAAAAATTCTTCTTTGTCGTCTCTCAGGGCAGCGGTCTCTCCAGTGCCCCAGTTTGCCACATGCGAAACACAGGTCTCTCCGCACGCTCAGTCTCAGCGCGGCCACTTCACGTTGCAACTCTTCGATTTGTTTCTCACACTGCTCGGATTTTGGTGGCTCTACCGCTGCAACCGTCTTACTCAACAGTTGTCTAGTCACCTTCGCAAGCTCCCCGATGTCCAGTGGCTGTACGGCGTTAACCAGACGTAGCTGTTGGGATATATGTTCTGGGACACTCTCCATAAACTGGGATGCCAACATTTGTGCCTCAGAATCTTCGTCCAGTGTTGGTAGAGCGCGACGAAGTAGGCTTGTCAAGGTCAGCGCCAATACGAGAGGGTCACCGTCAACTCCCAGCTTCATGGTGCGAAACTGCTGCATTGCCCGCTCTCTGTCCATCGGGCTGTCAAACTCCTGCTTCAAGCGTTCAACCACTGACTTCCAAGTTGCTTGCCCCTCCGTTTGCCGCACACTATCATATGCTGCCTTCGTCCGGCCTCTCAGTAGCGTTCCAAGAATAACTGTCTTCGCTGATGGCTCTTGCACGCCATTCAACTCTGCAATAGCTTCGAAGTCCCTTAAGAAGATCCATATGTCTCCTTCTTCAAAAGCTGCAGGCCATGAGACTTTCATTTCGCGACAGGCAGCGACACCAAATGTAACAACAGAAGGCAAGGGTCAGGCAACAGATCATTTATTAAGGAAATCAACGCATATTATATATATTTTCATGTACATTATTATGGATATTTAAGCAAACAAACACAGTCTTCCGATTGGTTGTTTCTCACGTAAAGTTAATCTTTCATCTATTTGTGACTGTTTCTTGAATGTTAAATCCTCTATATGTTAACTGCATCCGCCTACGCAAAGTCTGCTGTGGTCGGTTTTGAATCAATCTTTGTTCACATTTTCTCACGACAAATCTTGGGAACGTAAATATTGACATAAATTACTGTCTACCAATTTGGCTAGTAGACAGTTCTCACCACATAATTACTGGAAAACTCGTCAGTTTGAATAATTACGGATTAAGGACGTAGTATTAATAAAATAGGTACTAGGTTGGGACATATAAAAATAAAAAACAGTAACCAAATCTAGCAATGCAGGCAGGAATTGAAGACACAAATATAAGAGAAATAATGTCAGTAAAAATTCTGAGCATTGTGGAATACATCAAATAAAGTATAATTATATTTCATTGTTTTACACACAATGATAAGTTTTTGATTTTTGGTAATATTTCGAGCAAAATTACTGCCCGTGTTCACACTAACTCTTGGAATTGTTTTGTTTTTCAATTGACACATTTATGATTTGTATGCATATATATATAGTTCATTTTTGTGTATTCAGAATTATATTCCAGGTTGTTGGCAGTTGTGCCGAGTCACCCTCGAGAATCCGCAATATTGGCACTGAGGAGTCAATCGACGAAGAACTGCAAAGTCTCCGAGGGATCTTGATAGAAAATGGATTCCCATCCAGATTCATAGACACCTAAAATGGTTCAAGTCGCCCCAAAATACGCTGATACTGAACCTCGAATTTAAAAGTGATACCGAAGCAGAACTCCTTAGACGGATGCCGAAGCCTCTCAGTAAAGCTGACTACGCTGGTAGCCTACGAGTAACATTCTGCTGCAAGAAACTACTCACTCGGCACGTGAAAGACAAGCTGTCGCATTGAGCCACTTCAATATGCATACACAAGTTCACTTGCTCGTATGGAGCAGAGTAAACTAGCCGTAGCGTGCGTCCACTTGCATAATGCGCTCAAGAATACTATCCAGCATGGTTAGCAAAGGGAGAATACAAAGGCGTTTACAGTTCGATAACAGAACATCTGTTGAATTCTAGACATTCAGCTCCATTTGAAAAGTCCCTCGAAGCCTAGAATCACTGTAAATGCTGTCCTAGAAGCTGCACCCTCTCTCTACAGCTCTATGATATTCGACTGCTTTCAACACTTTGATGTCAATGAATCTAACTAAGTGAGCCAAGGATGTAACCACCAGTCAGTCACCTGTCGTAATCATGGCCCTGCACTTCGCCATCGAATGTGAGCAGGTTACCATAGATGACTGGTGTATTCAAGAGAATGGTCATTGTAGTTGCCAGATATCTACACAAAAGTATTACTTCATCATTCCGAAGTAACCACTCACACTCCCAGTTGAAGTACAATACATGAAATAGTAATATATGCATAGAACTTGGGTAATGTGTTAGTATGTAATTCCATATGAGTTTGTTTATTAGATGAATCATATAGTGAAACAGTATCATTTACTGGATATCATTTTGAACACAATTTATTTTTCATAATCATATCAATTATATATATATATATATACATATATATATATATACATATATATATATAAATCCATCCACATACGGTGAACAATCTTCGCCGTCTTAATGACTTGGGAAGTTATTATTATTATTATTATTATTATTATTGTTTCCTTTAATTCCTAGAAGAACATAGGGCTTCAGCCGTGCGTCTCCATTGCCTTCGGTTCTCCGCTACAGTCTTCACCTGGCTCCAAGTATGCCCACACGTTTTCATCTCCTCTTCACATGACCTCCTCCAAGTCACCCTTGCACTGACGACCAACTCGCCGCTTCGCTTCCGGGTTCCACTCGAGCGATGGCTTGCCTAGTGATGTCACTTGATGGTTTCCTCCATCTCCATTTCTTCCTCCCTATTTGTTTCACAATCGGTTCCTGGTTGGTTCGCTCCCAGAGATCTCTGTAGCTGGTCTTTTCTGGCCATCTGATCTTGAGTAGTATTGAGCGAAGACAACTGGCTGTTAATGAAGGTCTGTAGTTTGTTTGAGGTGCTCTTTATGACGCGCCTCTGATCCGTATAGTAGCACTGACTTCACATTGGAGTTGAAAATCCGGATCTTATTTTTGATGCTGAGTTCTGTTGACATCCACACAGAGTTGAGAGTAGTGAAAGCTTGTCTTACTTTCCCGATTCTTGCTTTGATATCCTCGTTAGTTCCGCCGGCCTGTAGTTGAAACGATGCTTCCCAGGTAGGTAAAAGAGGTTGTTTCCTTCAGGTTCTTTCCATTTATGCTGATTGCTGTCTGTTGTTGTTGTTGTTGCTGTTGGTGGTGTCGCCCAGGAATCTCCATCACCTCTGTTTTCCCTATGTTCACCTGAAGACCTATCTTCTCTGAATGCTTCTTCTGCCAACTTGTTACTTTTCGCTTGCATATCTTCCAGTTTGTGGGAATTCAGACAAATATCATCGGCGAAGTCCAGATCCTCCAAGTTTTTTGTGTGAGTCCATTTTATGCCTGTTTCCTCATTGCCCGCTGTTTGTCGCATTATCCAGTCTACTGCAATCAGGAAAGTCATTGGCGATAGTAGGCAGCCAGCTTGTCTTACTCCTGTCCTAACTTCGAAGGATTCCGCAAGTTTCCCGTTGTGGATTACTTGGCGTGAAGCATTGTCGTACATCTGTTGGATGAGATGTGTACTTGTCGGTGGCCCCCCTTGGTAGTAGCGAAGTAGTTTCCAAATCACCTCTCGATCGACGCTGTCGAAGGCCTTTTCAAAGTCGGTGAAGTTGAGATAGAGAGGTGACTGCCATTCCAAGGAAAACAACATCTGCAAATTTTATCCGCCTACGCAAAGTCTGCTGTGATTGGTTGTTCAATCAGTCTTTGTTCTTATTTTTCTCATGACCAGTATTGGGGACGTACACATTGACGTAAATTACTGTCTACCAATTTGGCTAGCAGCCAACTCTCACCACTACTCATATCAACCAAGCAGTACTCACTAGCCAGCCCAGGCGAATCGTTGTGATCTAAACACTTGACTGCTGCTTCGCTCATTTTTGACAGCACTCGTCAGTGGTGTACCTACCCTACCCCGTTTGACTCAATGGTATGCAGGTACTCATCTCAATCAATCTCTAGTGTGCTAGTTTGCTCGCTTTCCCCTATGATTACCATTCATGCATAGTATCAGACAGACCCCACACATATTATGATCGGAATAACCCTGGTTTCCGCTTGAAATGTATGTAAATTGCTAATTTCGAATTTTCAAAAGAATGCATACTGAACAAAGAGCTGAATGTCAGAAAAATTAGGAATTTATAGTTTCCACTGAAGGCCGCCTCGCTGAGCTGAGCTGAATCGTGCGGTGCTTGAAAACCAGCGTAACGCGACCGTCTGTCTGTTGTTTCGATTTGACCGGTTGGCTGGCTGACTAGCAAGCACTACTTGTTGATTTGGGGTCCAACTACTCATATCAGTCTATCAGTAGTATATAACATCGTGTGTATTTTGTTTCACTGTAAACTAAGCTTTGTAGTCATTGGCAAGTGGAAAGTTTCAAAAGTGAGGGGAGGGGTTGCTGCACGATGAACCGTCTTTAATTAGCCACGAAGTCTGGTTTCGGTATACACTCGACCTCTTGCTTTTCCATTTTATTTGTTTAGCTATGAATATATATATATATATATACAGTTATATTCTGTACTTGCTCTAACTTTGCGTCTGTGTGTATGTGTGTGTTTCCTTTCCATTCTATTCAACACTAGATGTTACGTGTGTCAAAGACGATTTACTGCTCGTTCTTCGTGTCTGCGTCATATGACCAATTTGCATGGAGCTGTAACATCAGAGCTGAAGTGGAATCTTTTGACTGAAACAAATTATGGTAAGCAAGTGAAAATTCTTATTCTTATTCTTCTTGTATTTCTTTCATTAATGTGTATTTTGTAAGCTGAAAGACACTGTTGACAACTGTGTGACGAGTCCTTTTTGAGATAGATGCTTGAACTGAACTTTCTTCCTTCCTTCCTTCCCCTCCCCGCGCCCCTGCGTGTTCAGGGTTAACAACACGTTATGTGTGATAACATGCACTTCTATCTACTGTGCGATAGACGATGTAGTTGATGATGATAGTGGTGTAGCTAGCCTCTTTGACTGACCGACTTAGTCCTTAGCTTATGTATCACTTTTGAAAGATGCTTTTATTGATATAGACTCTACTGATGACAACGTTTCAACGTACAGATTTGCACTGAAGTGTTGTAGGAGTCAAAATAGTCAAACTCCATTCAGTCCACAAAGCTACAGAAAAGAGAATGCAAAAAAAGCATTTAAAAGTACCATAATAAGTGGAAAATTTAGGGGAGAAAGAATAGTAACATGGAACAACATAAGAGTTTGGTTTTTATATAGATATAAGAGACCAGATAGAGTGGATTGATGAGTTCATCTGTGCCACTGAGAAAAATTTTAAGTCCCGTCAGCAATAGTCTCCAGTTAATGTGATGATCATGTTTTACTACGATAAAGGAGGATGGAGGGAACTGTGGTGGTACCAACCGGATATCCCATTTACGCGATAGATGACTCTTAATTCAGTTAATACCCCACACACACACGCTCAAGGCTTTTGTATCTGTGTTGAGGTCAAACCATTGGAGGTGATATAACTTCTCAAATAAAAGTGAAGCATGAATGCGACGAATAAAAGGTGCTCAAGAACTGAGTCATTGGTGGTGTCTGTCTAATTTCTCCTTTCGACAATTAAATTTAAAGATGTTGTTATACATGTCTAGACCATATCACACTGACTAAGTTTTTAATGTACACCAGGCTATATGAGCTTGATGAGAGAAAAGGCTGATAATACTATTATAACTACTACTAATACTACCCATTGGTGTCCAATCTGTAAAGTAGGTCGGCGGGGATTTGAATCTTGTGATCCTCCCGCCTGACTGACTGACTGACTGAAAGCAACGCTGAGAACGGACGTGGTCAATGAGCCACCCCTCTACTTTATTTGCTGCAATACTATTGCAGTATAGAATTGACTAGTTTACCTGGACTGAGTATCTTGTCTAGAAAGACAGTGAAAGCTTTGCAATTTAATCAATCCAATTTGAGAGAACTCGACTCAACACTACACCAAATTATACCATCCCAGGTTTTCCAATGGTTCTCTAACCAATGTCAGCTCATGATGAAATCCTGTAACCAATCAACCAAATCCCTACAAACCAATACTTGAATATCAATAAGATGCTCACTGGGGTTCTAATTTCGAAGTCATGACCAGTAGGGTGCAGCACGTCGTGTGTGTGAGGACAAATACTCGCCGAAGACATTGGCTAGCGGTTGCGCTATATCGTGAAGTGGCAGAAGTTAGAATTCATGGGCTGACCATTGGATCGAGCTGATCCCAAAGGCTTAATGGTCTACGAGCTAGCTCGCTAGCCTTGTAACCAGAAGGTCCTGGGTTCGAACCCCGTGGTGTGGGTGTGCACTGATGAAGACTCCCAAACCAGGATGAAACAGCTGTCCAGTACTCCCAGGTGGTTTTCCAATGGTTCTCTAACTCATGTCAGCTCATGATGAAATCCTGTAACCAATCAACCAAATCCCTACAAATCAATACTTGAACATCCTACTTCTATGGATTCATCAGTTGGTTTTGTGCTTAACTCAACTGTTGAGTGTGTGTTGCGGGGGTGGCGCATGAAACCAAACACTAATCGTTTGAAAAGGAAAAAAACAACAACAACAAAACTAGGCTACTGAGTCATTAGTCATCAGAAGTTGTTGTAAGCGCCGATCTGTCGATAAAAATGTACATCAACTTTGCGTGTAATTCATTTTTGAAGGTAAAAATGAAGGCGGTGTGTGTGTGTGGGGGGGTAATTGTAGTGAAATAAATACCCAGTAATCTGTTTGCTTAGTTAATAGTAGTAGTAGCGTGAAATGAAAGTGTTCAAAAATTGTTTTGAATTTATTGTGTGCTGAACTAACTTGCATCATGATTTGGCACTTAATGTTGTGTTTCCTAAGAAATGAACTCACAACACATATTCGTAAAAGTTATGATTAAATTATTTTTTAGTGATATTGTTGGCGGACAATTCAAAATCTCTGCACTATACGTAAATGGCTTCACTGTCTGGTTGTAGGATTTTGATTCAATCATTACCTGCTCACAGATAGTCATTTGACTTTTAAGACTGTATGTAGACTTCAGGGCATTAATGCCAGTTTCGGCTCTGTGCGAATTTGTGAGCTTAATTCAATCTGACGACGACGACGCATAATCCACCATATCGAATAAATGCGTGAATTACACAGAAGAGACTTTAATCTCAGTGTGTCGCCAAATCAGATTTCTGTAACAGTAGGATGGTGACGTGGGTTTGAAGCTGGATATACGTCTACGTGTAGAAGGAGGAAGAGGTCGAGGTGAAGGAGGAGGAGGAGGAGGAGGAGTGGGGCATCGACTCCTTCAAGATCTTGACAAGACAAAAAGAAGGCGTGATTTATCTGAAACTTGTAATGTATTTGGGCAACACATCTCAGAGATTCTAATCACATGCACACATACGAGTACTTGTCATACAAATATATTGTATAGAAAGCAACAGAGCATAAATGGTTATAATATGTGTCAAATTGTGTACGAGTCAAGGTCACACGTGAGAGGTAGGAAGGTGGTGACGTAAGCAAAGGTAGAGGGTGAAAATAGTGTTAAGTAAATTGAACCTTGGTTCTAAATTGGATTACCAAGGCAGGTTCAGAGTGATAAGGAGTAATTTTCGGACACATAAAACAGGTTTAAGCCTTTTTATGACGAAGGCTTCATCGAATTTCAGTATGTGACCCAAATTTGTTTAAACAAGGCTTTTGAAGGCATTATTGAAGTGAACCTAGGGACCCGTCTCTATGATGATGATGATGTGCTTTGCGATAGATAATGTTGGGCATCTATTTCCAGGATCACTTGTATCCGGTGATTTTATTTGTTGTCGCAACCACTTTGGAAAGTGTTCTGTAGCGCTAACCTTCAGAGACCGATGCGTCCTCCCTATACACATGTGACCACACATACATGTAAATTGGTAAACACAATGGAATGTGACACTACCGGTCGGATGATGTGTGATGGTTTACAGAACAGCATAAACCTCGTTTTGTCCAAGGAAATAAGTTAAGAGCTGCTGCATAGCAAGTTCTATTAATAACCTCCCTTTTTGAGGAGCTGATTGGATAGCTGAGGCCGTCAGTTTGACACTTCTGTAGCGTTCAATGAATTTCAGGGAAATAACTGTTATCCAGCAGGATTTTATTTCAGTGTGAAGTGTTGTGTTTCTTCTTCAATGGTGTGTTCTCTGTGTGTACACATATGCTGAATGTGCCTGAACATGCATTCAACTAATTACTGCCCTCTAATTCAGTCAGTGTGAACAGAAACCATGCTCATTTAGGTGTACTGTGTCTCGCTTCCATGTAGACTTTCTGTAGACCATATCGTCTTATTGATCCATCTTATCGACTAGCTGATGAGTAGTACATCCTGAGAATGGTAAAAGGAATCTGCATTCTTTTTCACCAATGGGCAGTACCACCATTCAAGATCTTCAGTCATATACATCTTTCTGACGCCGACGACGACAACAACAATGAGTGCTAATATAAACACGACACCTACGTGTTTATGGAAGAAGGCTTCCATCCGATTGACATTAATTCCCTCCCCCCCCCAGTAGTATTTTATTCTACGGTGTTATACCTATTTCACAATTGAAGTTGTCATGATAATCTCAGGATGGAAGAATTCCATACTCATTCAAGCGAGCTGTGTATGCATGTGTCTCTTTCTCTCTATGTTTGTGTGTGTGTGTGTTTCTGACACTTTCCTCTGTATGCTTCACATCCCTTTTTTGCCTAATAGTTTATGCGACACACACACACACACTGATCTGTTATTACTACTCCAAGTGTGTAAATCACATAAGTCACTTTGACTGAGTTAATTAATTATTAAGCCACAAGAAAATAAGTAAATAAATAAAAACCAAATTAATTATTTGAAAATGAATCTGATGCTCGCTAGTTGCCTGGAATTCAAGCGAGAAGTAGTCGTGTGACCAATGGGGCCTACTATCACCACCCGGTTGTCGGAGGTGAGGACAAATACTCCTCACCAGCGTTGACACATTAGCTGGTGCGCCTAGTCAGTCAGTTAATTCCACTAAAATCACGAATTGGTAGAAATTAGTATTCATGGGTGGTGGTTGGCCATTGAGTAGTGTTGGGTCTACAAGCTCGCCTTGGAACCGGAACGTGTCCTGGGCTCTAACCCTGGCAGTGGGGGTGGGGTGCATACTGACGAAACAGCTGTCCAGTACCAGTACTCCTCGGCAATCGATTGTGTCGACCGAGAGGTACTCTGGCGATGCTTGGCTGTAATGGGAATGCCGAGGAAATACATTGCGCTACTTACTCTACTCGAACTCATGCAGCCAGGTGAGGGCTTACGGCGAGTTGTCATCTGAAGTGGTGATGACTAGTGGTGTCCGTCAGGGATGCCCATTATCCCCATTTCTATTCAATTTCGTCATAGATATACTAATCGATTTAACCCTGACTCACTTCAGAGACTCAGGGATTGACTTGTTATCAGGGGATATTCTCGTTGACTTACAATATATGGATGATATAGTCCTTCTAGGCGAGGACACTGACAAAATGCAGAGTCTTCTGAACACCTTGAGCTGAACAGCAATCTACGAATGTTTGGCATGCGATTCACTCCGGCCAAATGTAGTATGATGTTACAGGACTGGACTACACTGACTCCTAGTTTAGAAATAGGGAGTGAAGTGGTTGGTGGAGCGTGTTGACCGCTTCACTTATTTGAGAAATACCATCAGCCTCTGACGAAATCACAGTACGGATACAGAGGGCTAGTTTCACATATGCCAGTTTACGCCGTCTCTGGCGTAGACGTGATATCCTGGTGGCTGTGGACCAAAGGGCGTGTGTACTGCTCATCAGTCCTCTCCGTCCTCCTTTATGGCTAGCTGTGAGACCTGGCCATTGAGAGTGGAAGACATGAAAAGATTACCTGTCTTCGATCATAGGTGTCTGCGTTCTATCTCCCGTGTGAAGTGGTATAATAAGGTGAGCAATACTGAGGTTAGGCGTCGAGTTTTAGGTAGGTGGGAGGGGAAATCAATCTACGAGGCTGTGAAGTTACACCGATTGAGATGGTTAGGACATGTGTTACGTATGTCTAGTCATCACCTTCCTCGACGGGCAATGTTAGCTGACATAGGGTCAGGCTGGGAAAGAGCTAGTGGCGGTCAAACCAAAACATGTCTTCATCAGTCAATGAAATCCACAACAGTTAGTTTAAGCGACGTAGGAAGGTATAGACTGCCAGTCTGCTTGGGGTCGTCGGGATGGTAAAAACCAATGGTTGGAAACAATTGGTGGTATGGCTTAAAATCGTTCTCCATGAGTAGTGCAGATGCATCCACTCCTTGTGACTTATAATTTCCAATGAAACTCTGTCGTTTTTCGTTATTACTATTGCTTTGTGTGCTACACGGAGATAGTGTGGCGACTTGAACTGCCGGACATCGGTGCAAAGTAGTTCTACGTCGAAAACAAACAGACAGACACCAGTACACTCCTGATTGGTTTCCAATGGTTCTGCTAGTGATATCAGTCGGTGGTCGTCGATCTTGAGAGCAGGAGTGTGATGATGGAGGAGTATCACTATTGATGTTGATTCTAAATTTTATGTTGTTGCACTCGGAATGCTTCTATAATTTAATTAATCAAGTAATTAATTAATTTTTGTTTGTTTGTTTGTCTGTTAATTTTTCAACACAGTCGCATCTACTCCATCTGGAACTAAAAACAATAACCCTAATTTGTTGTCGTTGTTGAATAATAATAATAATAATAATACCCCAGCTACTGGATCTGGCTCAACGGCACCACCAGCGACGACGTCATCATCATCATCGTTGTCTAAAACAGGTGAATCTGTTCGTGAAGAGAATGACAACAGCAGCAGCAGTGGCGGTGGTGTTGTCAGAAAGATATTCTTTTGTTCACTTTGTAATAAGTGTTATAGGTCACGACATAGTTTATTAAGACATAAAACTTCACATCATGGACAGGCGGATAGTCAGACAAGCAGTCGGCAAGCAGACTGAGTGATTGATTGGTTGGTTGGTTGGTTGGTACATTAACTCATACATATTTCTTCATTGTATGTTCTATTACTGTCTTATGCACAGTTATGTGTTATACATATAGGTACAGTTTGTACAGACACAAAGACATAAATGTTTGCGTTTATTTTCGTTATGTGTTTGTTATATACATATACATGTTTTTTTTAACGATTATAATTGTACATATACAGGAGCCCAAAATTCAGATTTATTCATTATTATTATTATTATTATTATTATTATTATTATTATTATTATTATTATTATTACTAATACTCGTTGGTTAGATTTTGAATTATAAAATTTGAATAACGCGTTATTGTTATTGTTGTTGTTTTTGATAATCTTGGTTGGCTTCAACTTCGTCTCTTCTATAAAAGAGAGAGAGAGAGACAAAGTGGTAGGAAAAAGTGAATAGTGAAAAATGGATGTTGGTTGAAAAGTCCCTGATCCATTTTCATGGATGCACGTTCTTCCATTTATTTATTCAGATTATGAATGATTTCTTCACAACCTAAAAACATTTAGAAAGAATCGCTAGTAGGCCTACAGAAGAACAGAGCATAGATGACTAGCTTTTGGGACTGTTGTTTTTAATAATATGGTGACCTAATCAAAGATCAGCTCTACGACCGGTCCGGTTGTTGATCATTCTGTAACCAGTAGATGTGAATTTGATTGACTCATGAATTCTTAACTTTCGTAAGTATTCGCAATGTGTAGTGCTCGGTGGTTGCCTTAATGGTAGAATGCGCTCACCAACCACAATCATCACCACCAGACATGTGGTCTGGGAAGTTGCCTTTATCTCGTGAAGCCAGTATTAATTCCAGTGAAGAGAGGGAATTTTGATTGTGAAGAGGCGGCTAGCAACCCCGTCCAGTGAAGATAAAACCATTGCCACTGAAACTTCGAAGCTGAAGCTCGGAACGCAAAAGAAGACAAATAATAATAATAATAATTTGCTTTATTCCAAAACAGTACATGTGATACAGAATGGAATTCTCAGCATTTTTACTACAGTATTGCATCCAGTTAGTGCATTATCAATAAATAAAATTCTACTTAGACTAAGGAAATCACAGTTCATTATGACAACAACATATTGACATGTTGGTAGCAAAGCCAAAGTTGAACAGTGTTTGAAGGTGTTAGAAAAGTAGGTGCTGTCATATTTACTGGCGTAAGCGGAAGAAAGAAACAAAGCTGCACATAACGGAAAAAAAGAGGGAGAGATAAAAGGAAATGTTGTACCTGTAAATGATATGAGTTGGAAAGACAAGATCTAGTTGTTCTACTGACTATTTAATGAATTATAGGTGACACGCCTAATGCTTTCTTTATCGCACAGAACACGAGCTAAGTAGGGTATGGTTGAGCTTTTGTACTTGCTGGTGCGAGCATATAGTTTTCTACATAGGCGTTTGGTTTTGCCCGATGAGATGCAAGGGGAGAGTTGTGAGTGAAGAGGGTGTTGTGAGTTAGATAAAATGGATGTGGCCCATTTTTCACATGAGCCCATACACCTGTCAACCACAATATTAACAAGCTGGTTAAGTGGCACGTTGCTTACCCTGCTGAAAACTTTTAACGTCCTGCGTAATATGTTATAGTCTTTACTCAGTAGCCCTGGAAAAACTAAGGAGGAACAATAGAGAATAATAGGTAGAATGCGAAAGTTAACAAGTTGTAGGAGTAAGGGTTGGGTTATACCAGAATGTTTTAACTTCTTGATGTAGAAGGTAAGACGGAATATTTTCTTAGAAATCACCAAGATATGGGATGACCAGGAGAGATCAGCAGATAGAATTACGCCTAGGTATTTAACTTCCTATTTGGTTTCTTTTTCAGTTCCGTCTATGTTGCATACCTCGTGAGAGCCAACCAGTTTCTTTAGGTCGGATTTATGCCTAAAGGTGAAATTGACTGTTTGGCATTTGGAGGGGTTTAGGGTAAGACCGTTTTCCTTGAACCACTGGCTGATTTCTGATAGAAAGCCATTTAGTTTAGAGCAGTCACTTTGACATTTGACAGGTAAAGATACAGTCAGGTCGTCATCATATTTGACAAAATTAATGTCATTTGAAGATGGTAAGTTATGTAGAAAGAAAGAAAAGATAAGTGGGGAGAGTACAGCACCTTGAGGGACACCGGCTTCAGTGAGTACAGCAGAGGATGATTTACCTTTATATACGGTGTACTGCATTCTGTTAGAGAATTAGGAATGCAACCAGTTAGTGACCCAGGACTCAGTTTTTGTCAAAGAGAGCTTATTTAGCAGGAGACATCTAGGAACAGAGTCGAAAGCAGAAGTGAAGTCAAGAAACGTGCACCTTTATCTAATGAATAGACGATGTTGTTGTGTAAGACAGCTGCAGCGTCTAAAGTGCTCCTACCCTGTCTATAGGCGAATTGTTTGGGGTCTTCGAATTTTTTAAGGGAGGGTTCAAGTTTAAGAAGTATTAGTTTTTCCATAAGCTTTAGAAACGGGGAAGTGATGGCAATGGGTCTGAACTTTACGTTCTTGTTGTTTCCAGTTTTAGGGACAGTGACAATTTTGATGTCTTTCCATGCGTCAGGTACGATATTTTTGGAGAAAGAAGCATTTAGGATGTTGGTTAGTGGAGAACACAAGGCATCTGCACATTGTTTTAGAACATATGCAGGTATACCACCAGGGCCATGGCTACGTGAGGGCTTGAGCATTTTAAGACATTTTAGAACATCGAGAGTATTAAAGTCATGAAAGTTTTCATCTACATGATAGGAAATATTAGAAGTAGTTAAAGTAGAAGACAAATAACAAGTGTGGCGCCTTCGTCAGTCAACCAGTGTGTCATCGACGGGGATTTCTTTTTTTAATCTGTGATGTGGTCATGGACCGTACCCACCGAAGGTCTTCTTATTCTGTTTATGTTTAGGAATGTAGTGAGCAAATTGCGAAGTTTCCTTTTGTCGCAGATTACTAATTAACTGTGAAGTCTGTATCGTTTTGAAACAATAATGCGTGTTCCGTAGTCGATGGTAGTGTGTCTACTTTTGTACTACGGGGTTTGTCTTTCACTCCATTCTCTGTAGAGAGTGATTTTTCTACTGAAACTGTTGAAACAGTATTCCTGAGGTTTGAATGTGATAATGACGAATATAAGCGATTCAACGTCGCGATGAACTTCAAAATATTTTGAGGTATTTCGATAGAGAAAGAAAGACCAGATTTGCAGTATAAAATAAATAAAATCATTTTATACTGCAAATCTGGTCTTTCTTTCTCTATCGAAATTTATCAAGGGAACCAAATGTATGAAATATTTTGAGGTAGTTGATGGCAGTCGGTACGGAACAATTGCATGGTGGTGGTGTTGGGTTGGGAGGAGCGTTGGAGTTGGTGCTTTATATTTACTTGTCAGTGGAGTGTATCTGCAACCTCATGGAAACTGATGTCCCACTGAAGGTTCGAACCTGCATCACCCAGTGTATGCAGTCAGAGACGGTACCCACCGCTGAGGAATACGGGCTGATGATTGATCTGTTGTTGAACTGTAAGGGATGCATTTGATTAGTCAGAAGGGTTTGAAACAGACGGATTTTGTACATGTTGAGATCATTCATGAAAATTGGCAAGATTTATCTCACATTCGGATGTATGAAATCATTTTGTGTAAGCGTCCTAGTGTGTAGTGAGTGCTACCTATAATCAGATAAAATAAGTAATATACCAGTAAATGAATTCAGAAAAGTAACAATATGTTTCGGACACTGGAAAATGCAATCGAAGAACAGAACTGCGAGGAGAACGTTAGAAACACTGTGCATAATCATCCAACCAGCTATCGAATGTGGTGATATTCGACCAATTTGCAAATGATGTACAATTAAAGCATTGAAGATATGGTATACCAAATTAAATTTATGTGCCTACAATGCGTTTAGCCTAATAAACATTCCTTCGAGCCTCATCGGTCTTTTCTTCTTTACACTAGTAGTTTTGTAGGCACAAGAATTAGGTTTGACATATGTCAGTGTACGGGAGTAGTGGTTTCCATGATGATATCTGTCATATATATATATATATATATATATATATATATATATATCAGTGTGTTCCGTAAATATCTTCAGTGCGTGAATAAACCAGTATTATATGTATGTCATTCAAGTGTTTCAGACGATGCTATTTTTTTGATGGTACCTTCTACGTTGCTAGAATATTCATAATATTCCAGGGTTGGGATCAGTTAAACGAGTACATGATAAAAATGTGCAGTCACTTGGGTTATTTCCATTTCTGGCAGAGTAGTGATAACAAATTTAGATTACATCACTGTAACATTAATAGGTCGAAAAGGAGATTGGTCTAGGTGTGCATTTACTGTTCCTATGGAAGATGATGTTCTTATGTTGTTATCTCGATAGGTCGTGTTCTTTAGTCATTGTAACTAGTATATTATTTTTAGATTTTATATGTCTTCAAGTCATATTTCCCTTTTTGACTTTGAGTAAGTAAAGCTGCAATTACACATGGCACATTTCCTTTTTTGAAGTGGCGCCACCTGCTTCATTCGGTGGGTATTTAGGGTGTTTCCATGCATAGGTCAAGATATATCAGCACGATCTCGTGGCAATTCAATAGTAGTAGGCATCTGACTTTTGAATTCGCTGTCTCCTTTAATCCATTAGTTACATTGCTCAGCTCAGATATCAGTGCCGCAAGTGTGTAACACAGTTCGAGAATATAACGCCACCGATGGTATGTACGCCAGAAAAGGAGTTTTAATGCAAAATTTCGTTTGAAAAGCTTGCAGAATAAATATAACTTGTCAGCAAGCCACCATAGAAACGGTTCAGGACGCTACAATTCTCTGGGATATTCAATAAAGCCACTCGTGTACATACATGCACCAATAATTAAATCTGTCACAGTGGTAAATATCGTGATGATCAGTTTTATTTCTTTTTTGTGTACGAATGACTGAATGGTTGGTTAACAGATGCTTCGCTTGATCA